AATGGATCGGCCTTGCAGTTCATGAACGGTCTTCCAGGAAATGGGTCACAATCCCACGTACAGTCCATATAACAGTGGATTGGGTATTTTCCGTAATTGAGGGTACTTCGACAGCTGGCATCTTCATTGATTCATCTACTGTCTACAATTGGAAGGTCCATTTGGGATTACTCTGGTTATCTCATGGAAGAGGTACCAGTGAAACAAACATCGTTATTTTTTGTGCTGCTGTGGAGTTCTAGTAACTTAAGCAAATATTCGCCTCCTGTCATTAATAAAAACTGCAATAGTTACCTTGAGTGTTGTAACGAAACCCCTGTTTGGACAGACTCAGGGAAACAGCATTTCGTATGATATTCGTATGTTATGCTATTTCGTGTTGTTTGTAAAAGAGCCGAACAAACTCCCGAACCACCCGATCCCCCACAAGGGTTGTGTGCAGCTCATTAACCACCCAGACATTGCAGTTAACCGCAAGTAATTGTTCAAAGGCTTGGTGGTCCACGTTCGTTTGCCGAACATGTGGCGGCGGCCATTTTAAAATCGTCTAACGCTCAGTGGTAGATGGTCGTCAATGCCCTGTTTTCGGACACTTATTTAGCCGCACTCCGCTGAAGTGTACCAAGTTCCAGTCCATTCGTCTAATAACTCACGAACACTCTACCGTTCAGGACTTTCCTACCATACGAACTAGACTGACCCCAGGTAGCTGCAGTTATGGAACTTTTTTCGGATTAAATTTTCACGAACAACCGGTGAACTAAAAACTTTACTCGACAGTATTGAGAACTATGTTCGTGGGATTTGAGCTCTATTTGTCTATATTGTGTGCTCAGATCTAAGTTATCTGGGGGTATGTGGAACATGGAGACTACGTTCGGCGAAATATGAGTTATGGATTTTAATTCAGTTTTGTCAAAATGTAAAAAGGACATGTTTCTCTCTACCTGGAGATAATTAGGTTCTCTCCAACCACTTAAGTTAATTATCTCCAGGATAGAGAGGAGGGGTTGCACTGTTACTGTGGGTGTGTTTAATAATTGTACTGTAAACTGATTGGTTCTGTATTTTGTGTCACAGTTTTCCACAAGGTCCCCTGTGGAAATTGACTTGCTGGGAGACCATCATAAAAGGCCCAGTGTGGCCACAGCATTAAAGCAGATCGTTTTACCCCTTCATGAAGTCTCGACTCATGTTTGGGGAATTGGGAGCTGTAATCACTACTTTGCTATTATACTGCTGGGAGAAGCTGCAAGGATCGGTCCTACAGGAATAACAGGATATTTTACAAGTGTTAACTCTTTCCGGGTGGTTAGGCAACCAAAAGTCGCCTAACTGATGCTGGATCCTCACTCTGTGCATGAAGACATCCAGCGTCTCCTAAAACCCCATAGGAAAGAATTAATACAATGTTTTCCTATGGGGAAGCCTAATGTAAGTGCGGAGGAGGAGCCTGACCCAGCGCTGAGGGACATTCAGGTAAGTGACTAAAGGAGTTTTAACCGAGTGCCGAGTGGGGGAGGGGGTGGAAGAACAGGAGGGTGAGGGGCACCATAGGGGACTGTAGTATCCCTTTAAAAGGAGTAGGTAAAGATGGAGTCTAAAGAGGAAGGGGTGGGTTCTTAATCAGGAAGAGGTTGGGTGGGGCATATTTAGATTAGGGGGTTGCCCAGGTTTTGTCATGCCAAGGGTAACACAAAACCAAAATACACCACTGGTACCCACACATATTATATACCGTTTTTATCGCCATTAAATGGTCTTTCTAAAGATACCATTATTTTCATCATATCATATTTACTATAAAATAAAATGATAATGATGAAAAAAAGTAAAAAAACACACCTTTTCTAACTTTGACCCTCAAAATCTGTTACGGATCTCCAACCGCCAAAAAAACACCCATGCTAAATAGTTTCAAAATTTTGTCCTGAGGTTTGAAATACCCAATGCTAACATGTTCCTAGCTATTTTTTTTTGCAAATTATAGGGCAAGAACTACAAGTAGCACTTTGCTATTTCCAAACCATTTTTTTTTCAAAATTAACACAAGTTACATTGTAACACTGATATCTGTCAAGAATCCCTGAATAACCCTGCACATGTATATATTTTTTAAAAGAAGACAACCTAAGGTATTAAACTTAGGGTATTTTGAATCTTTTCATGCTCTTTTCATGCCACAATTTTACCATCAATCTATGCCAAATTAAAAAAAAAAAATAATGGGTGATTTTTGTTTACACACATAGCAATTTAATGTACTGAGAACTTTAAGGGTAACTGCCAAGGAACACCCCAACATGTGTTTAGCAACATCTCCTGAGTACAATGATACCACCCATGTATAGGTGTGTCAGATTCTCTGGGGGCTAAAAGACCTTATTTGGAGAATACACATTCCAGTTTTCCAACTTGGAATTTTCACAACTGGTCATCATGCACCCAAGTCCTATTTGGGACATTTTTTAAGCCGGCCAATGTAATTTACACCAATCAAACCATATATTTGTAAAAGGTAGACACCCTAGGGCATTTCAAATAGTGGTATTTTAACACTTTCCATGCACTAATTCTACCACCAGTCTTTATCAAACATTTGGGTAGTAATTTTTTTTGTGTTATTTTTCTCTCACTTTGTACTTTAGGCATGGATTTTCAGTTCTTGATATTTGTTACTGACAAAGAACACCCCAATATGTATTTAGCAACATCTCCTGAGTACAGTGATACCACTCATGTATACGTGTGTCGGGTTCTCTGGGGGTTAAAAGACCTTATTTGGAGGGTAGGCTTCCAGTTTTCCAACTTGGAATTTTCACAGCTGGTCATCATGCACCCATGTCCTATTTGGGACATTTTTGAAGCCGGACAATTTAATTTACCCCCATCAAACCATATATTTTTGAAAAGTAGACAACCTAGGGTATTTTAAATGGTGGTATTTTAACACTTTCCATGCACTAATGCACTAATTCTACCACCAGTCTTTTCAAACTTTTGGGCAGTCATTTGTTTGTGGTATTTTTCTCTCACATTGTAATTTAGGCATGGATTCTCAGTTTCTGTCATGTGTTACTGACAAAGAACACTCCAATATGTGTTCAGCAACATCTCCTAAATACAACAATGTCCCCAATGTACAGTTTTTATGTGTTTTTGCAAACTTGTAGGGGTCAAATGTATGGCTTTCCCCTTTTCCATGTTTGAAATTTGCCAGATTGGTTTGCTGGGCCTATGTTGCCTTTGAGATCATATAGCAGCCCAGGAATGAAAATTATCCCCATCATGGCATACCATTTATAAAAGTATATGGCCCAAACCATGGACAAAATTAGCATTTATATTTTTTTTTTTTGCATGTTTCACACATAAACTGCCATTTCAGAGATGCTATTATCAATATAATAAATTTTACTGCTCTAAAACGTATTTGTGTAGAGTAATGTCTGACGAGTACAGCAGTTACCCTCAAGTACAGGTTTTACAGTGATTTGGAAAGTTACATGCCAATATACCAATTTCTGTTTTTGTAAATTGCTATTTACCATATTGCCAAAGTTGCCTTTGAGATGGTATGTCCAGAAATGAAAATAACCCCACCATGACATACCATTTGGAAAAGTAGACAACCCAGGGTATTCAAAATGGGGTACATCCAATTGTCCAGTCTTTTGTAGTAGCCATTTAGCCACAAACATTTGCCAAAGTTACCATTCATATTTGGGGTTTTTTGCATTTTTTACACGAAAACTGCACTGTTACTGGTGATTTCATCGTCGTGATAGGTTTTACTGTTTCAAACACTCACCAATATAGGGCTTGCCGAATTCAGTTTGCTGGGTCTGTGTTGCTTTATTTTGACACTATATGGTAGCCCAGGAATGTGAAATAACCCCATCATGGCATACCATTTCAAATGTAGGCAACCCAGGTGTTAAGACCTGCAGTGGTTATGGTGCTGCGGTCTTTAGTCCTCTCTCCCAAAAGCTGAGCATGAGTGATTATAGCTGCAGCAGGGAGTAGATAAATAAGATAGATGAAATGCAGTTCCAAGGTGATTCTTCCCAGCAAGCATGGGCGGACTGACCACTCGGGCATATCGGTCATGGACCGAGGGCCCGAGACAGTCAGGGGCCCGGCCGCACGGCACAGCCATGCTCCAGCTGGAGAGATCAGAGATCAGAGATCTCTCCAACTGGAAAGGCAAAAAATAAAATAAAACTATTTAATTGATAGGTTGTGGGGCCCCTGATGCAGCGCGGGGCCCCACAACCTACCGCTCTGTAAATGCCCCCTCCCCATGAGACCTGGCAGCTTTACCAGCTCTCTGCCAGGTCTCCTTCCTGTCCCACGCGGTGCTCTGTGTGATGGGAGAGGCGGGACAGGAAGTGACATCACTTCCTGTTTACTCCTCTCTCACCCAGAGCCGATCAGCCAGCAGGGGAAGGAGCAGCAGCCGGTGACAGAAGAGGAAGCAGAGAGACAGGTAGGCACTAGTCACCCCTCCTCCCCCCTGTGTCACTAGTCACCCCCTCTCACTGTCACTAGTCACCCCCCCTCACTGTCACTTGTCACCCCCACTGTCGCTAGTCATCCTCAAGTGTGCACTAGTCAGTCACCCCCTTGTCACCTAGTCACCCCTCTCCTCACTGTCACTAGTCACCCCACTCACTGTCACTAGTCACCCCCTTGCCCCTGTCACTAGTCACCCCCACTGTCACTAGTCACCCCCTCCCCGTGTCACTAGTCACCCCCCTCACTTTCACTAGTCACCCCCCACTGTCACTAGTCACCCCTCCTCACTGTTACTAGTCACCCCCCCACTCTGTCGCTAGTCACCCCTTCCCTCACTCACTTTGTCGCTAGTCACCCCTTCCGTCCCTCACTCTGTCACTAGTCACCCCCTCCCTCACTCTGTCACTGGTCATCACCTCCCTCACTCTGTCACTAGTCACCCACTCACTCTAGTGACAGAGTGAGGGAGAGGGTGACTAGTGACAGTGGGGAGGGGGGGACTGGTGACAGAGTGAGGGATGGGGTGACAGAGGGAGGGATGGGGTGACAGTGACAGAGGGAGGGATGGGGTGGGTGACTAGTGACAGAGTGAGGGGATGACTAGTGACAGAGTTAGGGAGGGAGTGACTAGTGACAGAGGGAGGGATGGGGTGACTAGTGACAGTCACCATCTCCCTCCCTCTGTCACTAGTCACCCCCTCCCTCAATAGTCTCCCCCCCGTCTCTAGTCACCCCTCCCTCACTTTGTCACTAGTCACACATTCACTCCCTCACTGTGTCACTAGTCACACCCTCCCTCACTCTGTCACTAGTCACACCCTCCCTCACTCTGTCATTGTGTCACCCCCTTCCTTCCTGAGGGAATGACTGGTGACAGAGTGAGGGAAGGGGTGACTGGTGGCAGAGTGAGCGGATGACTGGTGACAGAGTGAGAGAGGAGGATGACTAGTGACAGAGTGAGTTAGGGGGTGACTAGTGACAGAGTAAGGGCGTGACAGGTGACAGAGGGAGGGGATGACTGGTGACCGAGTGAGGGAAGGGGTGACTAGTGACAGAGTAAGGGACGGAGGGGGTGACTAGTGACAGAAGGAGGGAGGGAGTAGTGACAGAGGGAGGTGGTGACTAGTGACAGAGTGAGGGAGGTGGTGACTAGTGACAGTCACCACCTCCCTCACTCTGTCACTAGTCACCCCTTCCATCCCTCACTCTGCCACTAGTCACCCCTTCCCTCACTCTGTCACTAGTCACCCCCTCACTCTAGTGACAGAGTGAGGGAGGGGGTGACTAGGGACAGAGTGAGGGAGGTGGTGACTAGTGACTAATGACAGTCACCGCCTCCCTCACTCTGTCACTAGTCACCACCTCCCTCACTCTGTCACCAGTCATCCCCTCACTCTGTCACTGGTCACCCACTCCCTCCCTCACTCTGTCACCAGTCATCACCTCACTCTGTCACTAGTAACCCCTTCCTTCCCTCACTCTGCCACTAGTCACCCCTTCCCTCACTGTCACTGTGTCACCCCCTTCCTCACTCTGTCACTAGTCACCCCCTCTCTCACTCTGTCACTAGTCACCCCCTCTCTCACTCTGTCACCAGTCATTCCCTCACTCTGTCAACAGTCATCCCTTCCTTCCCTCACTCTGCCACTAGTCATCCCTTCCCTCACTCTGTCACCAGTCACCCCTTCCTTCCTTCACAGTGACAGAGTTAGGGAGGGAGTGACTAGTGACAGAGAGAAGGATGGGGTGACTAGTGACAGAGTGAGGAAGGGGGTGACTAGGGACAGAGGGGGTGATTAGTGACAGAGTGAGGAAGGGGGTGACTAGGGACAGAGGAATGCCGTATTATGAGTTATATTTAACGCACATATATTTGGCCTTCAAAGGGCCTGGGATCTAATTTTGCCCGGGGCCCCAAAGGCTCTCAGTCCGCCCCTGCCAGCAAGTAGAATATCCCCCAAACATGAGCCTAGACTTCATGAAAGGTGTAACAGGAATAACTTTTATTGACAACACACGGGCTTTTATGAGAAATCCTCCTGCAAGAGGACCTCCCACAGCAAACAAAGACAATAACCAATCAACACACAGATTTACAGTAATGCATGCCTCCTCTCTGCCTGGAAGATATTGAGATAAGTTAAGGAATAAACCAATTATCTCCAAACAGAGAGCACACAATTTCCCCAAAACTTAGAACACCCCTTTCCCCACAAGGTATCCCCACAAACTGGGGGACAAACATATCCAAATTTCACCCAGATCGGTTCAAGGGTTCTGAAAAAGTGTGGAGGGTCCCTTTTACCGACCACACACGCAGCTCCTGCCCAAAACAGTTCCACGAATTCAGCGTGTGCGGTCGGTCAATTCACAAAACTGTAAAAAACAAACAATAGTCCCGAATGAATCCTCCTGGCCCATAGTAGCGATTGCTCCCCATGTCCGTTCGCACAGAACTACCGAATGAGGCTTTCCTGGCTGTTCGGTAGTTTCCAGCGGTAGTTCGTGAGGTCGAGTGTCCGATTTTAGTTCCAGACACTCGACGACCAAGTCCCGCTGGCTCTCCTCGTGCGAACAAGATGGCCGCCGTTTTCTTTTCCACGTGGCGTTTGGTTGTACGAACAGCGGCCGCCCAGGGAGCACTTAATAGCTGGTTCCTTTGAAGTAAATGAGCCAGGAGGGTGGTCGGCGTTCGGTAGTTTCAAACTACCGAACCAATCCATTCACTATACAAGTAATAGCACATCAAAATACCGAATAAAAAGGTGAAAATGACAGGTAAAAGTCAATTTTCTTCACACCAGGGTATTCAAACTGGGGTATTTCAAATATTTTGTAAAAGCCACTTAGTCAAAAATGCTAGCCAAATTTTGCGTTTTTATTTGTTTTTTATAAATGTTTTTTTTCCAAGGGGTGTGGCCGAGTTGCCGACAGCAATGGAGGCATAAACCGGAGCTCTTCAATCCCTCTCTATCCCCAGCACCTCTGAAATCATCCGAAGCCGACCATGGGGAAGAACTCCAGAGCGGCAAGCACCCCCAGGCAATCAGGGTCATGCCAGGCTCACATAACTGCCTCCATGCGGCAGTACCTGGCAGCACCGACAGACTTAACCTCCCACGCGGCCTCAGAGGCATGCATCATGTCGGACCCGTCCACACCGACCTCACTGGTCTCAAGTAGAGACGAAATCCCTCCATCTCCTCCACTTGATTGGGGAGCCGTAATAAGAGCATTGCCCACAAAATGCTTCATGAGTAACAACCTAGATGGGAAATCCAAGGGCACTGCCATCTTATTACATAAATCCATACAATTCCAACACAAAGAAATTCTGGTAAATAAAGGCGGAAGATATGTATGCGTCAAGGACACGGTGCTAACCAAGCCCTACACACTGCTCATCTTATATGTACCTAACACCAAACAATACAGATTTTATAAAATCGACCCTGCGAGCAATTGAGGGATTTGCTGAAGGGTGCCTTATCGTCGGTGGGATCTTAATGTCCACGACAGGACACATCCACAGGCACCTCCGCAGTACCCGCACACATTTTACAATCCATAAACAACTCTCTATGGGACCACAGACTAGTGGACTGCTGGAGGGCCACACACTCCAAAAGCAGGGACTTTACTTTCTTCACAACCCCTAACCAATCATACTCTCGCCTAGATTATTTCTTCCTCCCCCACTATTACCTAACAGACTTACAGACCATCCGCATCGGTACCACGACGTGGTCCGACCATGCCCATGACCCTGTCATCCCCACTGTAAAGGCCCACAATGGTGAACTGGAGACTCAATGAATCCCTCCTGATGGATGCGCTGACTCTCCAAGAGATCCGTACCTCCCTCACAACACATTTTGAAGAAAATGATAGAGAAGAAACTACACTGATGTGCCTCTGGGAGGCCCACAAATGTGTCATAAGAGGGGCACTTATAGCAAAGGGTTCCGCGATTAAAAGAGAACCGAAGGCACCTTTTACAGGAAATTCAACAACTTGAAGGGACCTGCAAACAGACTGGGCGACCTGACGACTGGCACAAACTGACAACCCTACGTAGAGAGCTCTCGACACTACTCAATCACTCCTACCAGAAAATGGTCACGCAAACAAAAACATTCAAGGTACAATACTATACGAACCCTGGCAGTCCTACACCACTCTACCTTGACCTCAGAGGGCCTCCTCCAGAGGGCCTCCTCCTGCTGTCTATGGACACAGAGAAGGCCTACGACAGAGTAAACTGGGACTACTTGTTTGCTGTCCTGCAAAATATAGGGCTGGACTGGTATATCATGAACTGGATCAGATCCCTGTACTCCTGTGTTAACGGATCAGTTACGGCACTAGACAGGGCTACCCGCTGTCTCCCTTGCTTTTCGCCCTTGCCCTCGAACCCTTCCTGCAAGCGATCAAACATAACCCAAACATACAGGGGATGAGAATAGGCAAAACGGTCCACATCGTGGCGGCCTATGCAGTTGACCTCTTATTTTTCATGACAAACCCGGACCGCTCACTTAGACATATAATGACAGAATTTGACACATATGGCTCGCTATCAAATTTCATAATTAATTACTCAAAATCTACAATACTTAACGTGCCCATCCCGAAAGAACAGGTCATACATATTCAACGCCTCTTTGCCTTTAAATGGACGGATTCAGCCATGAAATACCTAGGGATTTGGGTCACAAGGGAATGCGCCCATCTATACGGGCCAACTTCCAACCTCTCTTAGCGCGGCTGGGTGTGGGTCTGGAACGGTCACTGCTGCACCTTTCTTGGCTCTACAGGGTGGGGATAGTTAAAATGTACCTCCTACCGCGGGTGCTATACCTGTTTCAAACTATACCTGTCACAATTCCCCCCTACATTTTGTCACATTGCGCACGCTGATCCTGAGACTCATATGGTGCAATTCCAAAGCCTGCGTACGACACGACATCCTCACACTGCTGAAGTCTGAGTAAGGCCTGGCTCTCCCAGACTTTAAGCTGTACTATCAAGCCACACACCTGCAAAGGATAGTAGAATGGTACAAACAGGGTGTAACCAAACTGTGGAAAGAAATAGAAGCCACACAGGTGGGCAGGCCCATGACGGTCATATCCTGGCTGGAACCAACACACAGTACCCAACTAGTAGCCCGACACCCACTCATTTAGGCAACCATCATGGTATGGCACACTCAGGCCCCAAAACTGTCCCTCTCATCATTCCCAGCTGGTTCACAACCTGGCCTTTCCTCCAGGACTAGAACCAAAGACATTTCAGAGGATAATAGGCACAGAAATCCCCCAAGCACGACACCCGTTCACAGAGGGACAGATCAAACCCCTGACCAAGATACTCAACATGAATACCCTAAACTTCATGCACAGCTTTACATATAAACAGCTGACGGACTTCCTCACTTCTTTCCCACAGAAACCCCTCCTGACCAGAAACCTCACTCCACTGGAGGTGATCTGCACAGACAATGACCCATTAGAACATGGGATATCAACATTATACATTATGCTCCTCACACAGCAGAATACAGCAACACCTCACTTTATGGGGAAATGGGAAGAGGCCCTAGGGAAACACTAACTCCCAAATAATGGCACAAAATCTGTGAGCTCACTCTACACTGCGCAGTGTCCAGTAAGACACAAGAGACTGCGTATAAATTGTTAACCTACTGGTACAGGACTCCCCAGTCCCTACAAGCAATGATACCAACCACAGATAACAGTTGTTGGAGATGGAGAGGAGAGGTAGGTACCCTAATTCACATATGGTGGGAGTGCTCCAAAATAAAACCGTTCTGGAAAAAGATCTACAGCATCATTCAAAGATTTTCAGACGACCCACCCCCCTTCAAACTGGCACTGATTCTCCTACATCACACTAAAACCTGCACATCCACATCCACATCCACATCCAAAAACTGACTGACGATACAAATCTTGAATGTCGCTAAAGGGCTGGTGCCCTTATTCTGAAAGAAAGACATAGCCCCACCGATGGAACTGTGGTTCCAACAAATGGAAGAACTTCGCGCTATGGAAGACCTTATATTCCGCAGCAGTGAGAGACCGCAAACTTACTTGAATATCTAGACTCAGTGGATTCTGTTCACAGACTCCGCTGACTTCAAAACGCTATTGCAGTATGACACTTCTGACACCACCAGTAGAGACAGAGAGACGCGTTAATATGAGCACAACACAACCCACTGAGAGCAAAACTCTCCTTCTACTTGCCATTCTACTCTCCTTCTCCCCCCCCCCCTTCCTCCTCAGATACTCATCAACTCCCTAGACCCCTGCGCAGGGAGCCCCTTATTGGGACAAACATATAGATAGTAGCCACTGGTGACTGGA